ATGTACGTATGATAACCGGTAACCAGATATACTTATTTATTTCTGGTGAAACGCCCATATGTAAATTCATGTTAATTTAATTCTGGTGAAACGACCATATTGAATTTTTTTTTTTTTTAACTTTACTTTCTAACATTAACATATATGCCTAATTTGCCTGGATCTTATAAAATCATATAATTATAACACTAGATCCCACTTTTCTTTGGTTTAGAAGTTGTTCATAAGTTTATGTTTTGTCGATTGTTTACTGCCGCCTTTAAGGAGGCATGTTTAAAAATATTTTTCAAACTGTGCCTTAATTTTTTAATTTTTTTAGTTTTATTGATTTTTTCATTTTTCACTTTGTATCCCTCGTTATATCTTATCTTAAATAAGAGAAAATGAATAAATCTATGCGATAATCTGTGATCATAATTATAATAAGTCAAAATAATTACATGTATCGCCTAGACCCAATAAAGACTTGAATAAAAATAAATAACTAAAGAAAGTGTAACATAAATAAATAATTATTCTAAAATGACTCTACAATTTTAATTACAAAGTTTCAGCTTAGTAGGCGATTAAAATCAAAAATCATTTTCGAGCTGAAGAACAAAGATGATATAAATATTATTAATCGTAATCAATTGACTTCTCTGCGATAATCTTCTGAATGTATAACGTGCTCCAAGCTAAGCCCGGATCAAGGTTTGAGTCCAGAAAACCAAACAATAAACTTGGTTTCCGTTCTCATTTCCTCCCAAGCTATCCAGGTTTATTCTTCCTTCTTCTCCGGTACAGGGATATTGTAGACTGTGTGCTCCTCCGCTATCTTTAATCTTCGCTCATCCGTCTTCTCTTTCAGTTTCCTGGAAAATATTCAGTGATTATAAACCTCAGAAAATACAAGTATATTAGTAATTGATTTCTTAGGCTTAGGTTTGTGTTGGGGTGGGTTTAGAATAGTACGTTTACTTGCAAGCTTATTTCTTCTTCTAGATACTTCTTATTAAAAATCTAATTTTTACTTAAAAAATTTAAATGATATCTTTCAAATGGATCGGTAAATTATTGCTACTCGCTCATAAAATAAAGAGTGCCCTAACTGATTCACGCAGGTACCTTTTCAACCTTTATCCAAGAGACTAAAATACCAATTAATTTATTTTCTGGGTCTTACTTAAGGTTTGTTTCTCCTCCACTACGAAGGATTTGTGCGATTAAAGCGTTCTTGTCATATTTATTCTGATCTGATTTAGTTTCTTCAAATCTCCGGGTAAAATCATCATCCGTTCCTTCCACTCCTTTCATCAGAATCCAACCCACCACACAGGAGGCACCAATTACTAGAAAATTACAGGAGATACATACTTAAACCGGATCAGTAACATTTTATCAAGTTGGATCCGGACCCACTACTTTTCAGTTAGTTATATCCAGATCTATAAAAAGAAAAAAATTGTAAATAAACATTTTGAAATCTTATTCCTCAGATCAAAAACTTGATTAGAATACTTTATAAAAGTATGTCAATTTTTCGAACTATCCAAACAAGCCTGCACAAAGAAAAACAATACCTTTTTTTTAAATTAAATATTTATCACAAGCATCCTTAAGTACAAATAAAGACAATCTTTCCTACGACTGAAGAACTGAACTCCTCAAGACAATTAATGGAAATAATTAGCCCGCTAGTAACTAAATACAGTGATAACCAGAAAACAACGGAATAGGAAGACGACAATAATGGAATATTAATAGCATTTGATGTTGTTAAAAAGCATATAGTTTTATTAAAGAACTAGTTTAGTGAAATCAGTCCGTTTCACCAGCACAGTTCCTGTTTCTCATGCTCATTGGACTTCTTAACGTTAAAATTGGATTAAAAATGTCGTCTTCCTAGTTCATAGTTTTCTGGTTATAACTGTAAACCAAGACTTTTTATTTTATAAAGGAGTGTTCTGGACAGAGCTTAGGATACAGATTCGGATCCAGATCGTTAGATCCGCAAGATTTTAGCTTTCTGGATCCAGATCCGTAAAAATATGCGGATCCACAGATCCTGTACAAGAGGCAAAAAATCAACCAAAAACTAAAAAAAAATGTTTGGCTCTCAAAACCCAAATCTGAACTATTAAACAAAGAGAGATTATAAAAATTTCCTCATTTCTGAATTGTTTTAGCATAACTAAGCGAAAAAATAAGACAAATAATTTGAAAATGCTGCATTGTTAAAAAATTCAGTAAATCTTAAAATGACCTGGATTCGGTCCGGATCCATTTTTTCCAGTGCGGATCCAGGATCCGGATCCGCATCAACATGATTTGTATGAAAATTTACCTATAGAAGACTGTTTAAGAATAGCGGCCATATTTATTTAATTTATCATCTGAAATTAACATAATTTATTTATATTTTTCAGAGGTCAAAGGTCAGTTATTTTTTAATGTTTACAAGTAAAGCAACCTTTAACATAATTTCTACAAAAAGGGACGCAAAGCGCCAGTATAAATAAAAGTTTATTTGTACAAATTATAATTAATATTTTACCAAACGAAAAGTTAAAGTAACAATGTTAATTCATACATAATCTATTTCCTGAAGTAATTATCAAAAATTCTATTCTATAACTTGTCTAGCATATAAATTCATGATAAAAGTGTTTTAACTAGAATCTTCTCCAAGTTTCTCTCCGATACCAATAACTATATCATCACCATCATCGTCTTCATCTTCTTCATCAATATCATGATTGTCATCTAACTGATCATCGTCCTCAGCCTCTTCTTCTTCCTCAGAGTCAACGGATCCAATGCTTTCACCATCATCATCATCTTCAATAGGTTGACCTGTAACCTTACTTTTAATAAGTTTCAAATCTGTTTCAAGTTTGTTCCTTAAAGGTTGAACGTTGATTGATTTATCTTCAGGATTTTTAGATTCTTCAGACTTATCAATCTCACTAATCTCATCCTCATCAGAAGAGTCAGAACCGTTGTTATCATCCTCGGATACCTCATCATCGTCCTCCACTTCGTCATCGTCATCTATGTCCTCAACTTTAGAGTCATTATTGCCTTTTTTCTCTGTCGAGGTTTTCTTCTTGATAATTTGTTTCTCAACGTACTCTTCAAACACCTTATCTATCTTCTTCCTTCCTTCTCTTGCTTGAGCCTGGAGCTTGTTTTCAAGTTCAGGATCAAGTGTGGCTGGATCAACCGGCTGAAACTCCTAAATAAAATTTTATTATATGGAGAAAACCTTAACGGACTGTATTGCATCAAAATCTAAATAAATCCAATAACTACGGGTCCACTTTGAAAATTATCTGTAAAAATGTAGAAAACGGTTTGGCTTTTCCAGAGAAAAATAAAGTTACTCCTTGATCTTCTTTAGTTTTGACATCAGACAATGAATTAAATTTATAACTAGCTNATCTTGTTAAACCTTGAAATATGAACAGATAGAATCGAACTCGTCGTTGTTTCGCCGCATTTTTAATTTCTTGCCGACACTTTGGAATATTCTCTCCGACTCGGTGTGAATCTGAAATAGAACACATAATCTATTTTAACAAATCTGAAAATTATAATGATAAGATTTATCTCTGGGATTTTCACCCATGCCCCAGATTTAGCTTTTAAAATCAATATATTATTGAAAGGAAAGTATTTACTATTTTCAATTTTTAATATCTTTAAAGAAGTCATTTCTTTTAATTTTTTAAGTTATAAAAATATAAAAGTTTAAAATGCATTTCACTCCAAGACCATAATTTTTTTCGTTTAAACAAACTATTATCAAAATGAACCAAATTGATTCTAATTACTAAATAGAAAGATGAAAAAGACGATCTCTGCTTTGTCAATAATACCTGAATTTCTGATAATCCAAGACTTTGCTTTGAGTTAACATCTTCAACCAATTTCTTGACATCAACAAAATCCGGAAATTGTTTAGTCCTGTTCACAAACTTACTGATCTTCACATTTATTTCTGGAAACCTTGAATCATCAAACTTGAAAGCTTTGTCAGATCTTCGTTCCAAGTTTGCTGAAAGTTTTCTATACGCCGCCAGTTTTTTATATATATCCATATATCTCTTCTTGTATCTAAATTAAACCATAATCAACTTTTGATAATTTCTGTCGCACATTTTCAAAAAAAATACTTACTTAGCTCCTAGAATATACACGGATTCGTCATCGTCCTCGAAATTAACCTCGGAATCCTCGAGTTTGCGGATTTCCCTTTCGCACTGACTAAGTGCTTTCTCCAGTTTTCTAATATGTCTCTTAGAAGGAGTTTTAACTGCATCTTTGGATGAAACTGGGACAGTTTTTGATACACCTGGGTTTGAAGATGGGTTGGTTAGGTTTTGGTTGAATATCTGAGAAGATGACGAGGAGGTACTGGTTCCCTGGACCGAGGTGGATCCGGACCCTGTAGGAGCTAGACTCAGAACACTTAATATATCCCGCTCTCTTTCAGCAAACCCGTCTTCGGCTACTCTCTCAGGCGGGCATTTACGTAGAGGTTTATGTATTGTAGTAACTAATACTTTTTTCTTGGAAATATTTGAATCTGAGAGATCACTTGTAGTTCCGCTCCGTCCTTCCTGGCGGTAAGTTTTTAACTCTTCCAACACATCACGGATTTGAACGTAAACATTTTTATGATCGGAGTCCAACAATCCCCATTTCATTTCTATGAAGTTCTTTAATCTCACAGATTTGAGGAAGTAAGGTGAAATATAATTAAGATATTTCATCATTTTTTTCTCAACACTAACAAACTCTGAGCTTGGCAGGACAGATTCACAAGTTTTTAGAAAAAGTTCAACTGAGGTTTTAACATCAAGACTAGCAGAGTTTTTAACAGCATTAGACTCTTCATTATCTGAATTACAGTTGGATGAAGGTTTACTTGATTTAGATTTCTCTGTTGTTACTCTGATCGTATTCGGAGTAATTTCTTCTATAGATAACCTGGAGCAGGACAGGTTGTTGGTACTTATAGAATCGTCTTTCTCCTGGTTATGTGAATCTAATCCGTTCTGAAACTGTTTCAGATATTTCTCACTTGTAGATTCCTTGAACTCCGGACTTGGCTTCTCAACCTGAACAAGATCGATTCTTCTCCCTTGGACGGGGCCGGTATCGCGTCTTTTTGGATTTAAAGATCTCTCTGTGTCCGTAGATATATTAAGAGTAGTACTAGTCTCCCGGAGCACATGAGAAAGGTGTGAGGATGAAAAGGACGAGGTAGGGTTCGGGGGAGAAACTATTATCACACTAGGATCTGGAGAAGGTGCTCGAAGTCTAGAAAAGAAAACATGTTTTCCCTATAGTGAAAGTCATTAAAAAAGTTAATCACGAATAGAAGTTATATATTTTTTTGAGATTTCGATCCTAAAATGCACAAAGTTTTCAGGCGTGCTTTAATATTTTTTACTTTTTCTTTCCTATTCCGACATTGTCCTCTTTTTTATTTACAAAAAATTTGCATAAATATACTTGATTAACCATTCTGTGTTAAACATATTAAAATTCCTTGTCAAAGATTACCAGCATTTTTGAGTTAATCTTATGGTTGGTGGAATCCAAGATTCCAAAGAAAGTAAATTCTTAACTACTGTTTCTTTATTATTATACGACTACCTTTTCTGCCGATCAAGTATTTCATGTTCTTCTCGTAATCTTTTTCTACTGATTGGGGGTGTAGTAACTTCAAGTATTCTGGTAGCAGAAGGAGATATCTCTGTAATAATACTCGGACTAGATATCCTCTCTTCAGTCTCTCCATCACTACTATCACTGAAGAAACAAAAAAAATAATAATACTTGAAGTTGTTCATAATTAATTAGATTAAAATTGGCAACTTTTCAATTGTATACAGTATGTTGACATTAAACATTGAACATTAACACCGTAAGAAAAATATACATGATTCGTTGATATGAAATGAAATTCTTAAATAAAAATTTTAAAGAATAGACATGAAAATCTGCTTCCTCTGTACCTGAGTAATACAATAGTTTGGTTATCGTCATCATTGCTGGAGTTCAGTCTATCTCCTGTTTCTAGGACATGTTCAACAGGGTTCCTCGGATGCGGAAAAATAGGTCTTACAGAGGTCACAGAACTGGAAGAAATAAGTCTTTGTGATGTGCTTGGACGCGAGCTAATAAGTCTTTCATGGTTAGTCTGGTGAGGCGAAGCAAGTCTTTTAGAATGTATTTTGTGTGATGGAACGTGTCTTGGCTGGGACTGAATTTCCGGATGACTATGTCCTTCAGAAGTACCTCGATGGGAATGGATGAGTCTTTCTGATGTACTTAGAAGTGAGTCCACAGGTCTGTCATGAGTTATTTTATGAGAACCACCTGAACCAATTGGTCTCGTATTATTCCTGTTAGTGGATTGGACGTGACGTTCTGAACTCCGTCCTTGGGATTGAACAGATCTTCCTGGATTAATAGGATGAGAATTGATTTGTATATCCGCATTCCTCAGAAAGGATCGTTCAGACTGAAAAGTTCTGGTAGACGCCTGGAACTGAGAAGGTTCAGAAACTCCGGAGACAGGATTTATTCTCCTTGGTTTACTTCCGGGGCTTTCTATATTTCTTCTACTATAAATATCTGGTGAAGCCCGAGCTGGAGCTAGTCCTTTATGTCTCCTACGAAATGCTTCTTCATTTTTCTAAAAAAAAATATTGAAAAAAATTTGGAAACTTAATTTTTATTTTTAGCAATCTCAAAAACGGTATTTTTTATCTAGGTTTATAGTTAATTGATGAAGATCTAAGAACAACTAAAATCTTTGTCGAGTTAAAATAACGTAAAACCAACCTTCTCCTGCTGAGTGCCGGGCTGTCGAGCTGGAACGGTAGTTTTATGCAGTACAATATCCTTAAATTAAATATATATCTCAAGTATATTCACAAATCTAATATTAAGTGTAACTGAATCAAAGTCATATTTCTATCAAGAAGGATCGGGGTCTTTCTTAGAGAACGATTTTTGCCCCCCTTCCCTCTCCTATCAATTTCGTACATGACCAATATCCAATGTTTATAAACAACATTAAAATTTAATTTGAATTATTTCAGGGTTTGGTTAGGTAAAAACAATATCTATACCGAGCGCTGCGGCTATGACAGGCTAAGGGCCGAGCGCCGCGGCTAGGACAGGATAGGAGGCAGGGCGCTGCGGCCACATTGTAGTAAACGCCTACTCCATAACAAGTCCTAGAAACGTATCTATCCAAGTACAACCCGTCCTATATCAAAGTCAACCAGGACACGATCCACGCGGCTACAATCCCGTGAACTATCAACGCCACTCCACTGGGCGCGATCTCGTTAGATAACGGTGTCAATACAAACACTAGCGATTAATCTAGCTCTAAATGCCAAACAAAGACACAAGCGTAGCTATCAAACAAGCGATTAATCGAGCTCTATATGTCACACAGGGACACAAGCGTAGCTATCAAACAAGCTATTAATTGAGCTCTATATGTCACACAGGGACAAAAGCGTAGCTATCAAACAAACTATTAATCGAGCTCTAAATGTCACACAGGGACACAAGCGTAGCTATCAAACAAGCTATTAATCGAGCTCTATATGTCACACAGGGACACAAGCGTAGCTATCAAACAAGCTATTAATCGAGCTCTAAATGTCACATAGGGACCAAGCATAGCTATCTAAGAAGATCTTATTCGATCTATGCCAAATACCGAGGTATGATCTCAGTCCGTATGTTTCAAAGAGGACACAGTTAGCAATCAAACAAGCTCTTATTCAATCTATACCAAATACCGAGGTTTGATCTCAGCCCGTATGTTTCAATGAGGACACAGTTAGCAATAAAACAAGCTCGTAATCGATCTATACCAAATACCGAGGTATGATCTCAGTCCGTATGTTTCAAAGAGGACAAAATTAGCNTTATTTTTAGGCCGAGCGCAGCGGCTAGGACAGGCTAGCGGGCCGAGCGCTGCGGCTAGGACAGGCTAGGAGGTCGAGCGCCACGGCTAGGACAGGCTAGGGGGCCGGGCGCTGCGGCCACATTGTCAATTATATCCGTCTTCTTATAAGATCCATGTACAAAATTGAAATGAGGAGGAAGGGGGCGGGGTCCACAAATCGTATATTAGGAAATTACCAAAACAAATATATTTAACAAATGTTAGGAGAGGTCATATAAGCGTTTACAATGAAAGCGCCAAAACATTGAAAATCACGACTTAATTTAACAACATAAAATAAAGGTAAGAACAGAAAAAATATGATTAAGTATTACAAACTCAACCTGATCAGTGCTGTCATCCAGACATATAATCTCCAAATCCATTTCAACTCAGGTCAAATACATTTTAGTTAGAGGTTTAATTTTCGAACGTTCTAAATGTCAAAACTTACAATTAATTCATAAAATTTATCAATAAATGTTGTGACCAAAATTAAAAACTAATTCCAAGTTAACAAAAATGAAAACCAAGGCTTAATATTGTTTGATTTATGGGTTTTATAACTAAAATTATTGTCACATTTCTGTGTTTTCGTGGAAAATGAAATTTTTGACAATGTATGACGGACAAGTGTCAGTATGCGCAATTGTACAAACTTGCCGCACAATATTATTAGTAAGGTTGAACAAAGACGAAAAAGTTTGACGCACAGTTTTGTTTATTTTGAAATATTTTGAAAATAATGAGAGAGGAAAGATAGAACCTGACAGGATGAATAGGCCCCGGCATAGAGGTTTAATCAGGGGGGGGCTACGGGAGCGAATCCCCCCTCAATTAGTGAAATCTATTAATTTCAGGGAATTTTTAATGCCCAACGTGTGCTGAGCCCCACCTGGAGAGAAATAAATGTTATAAACCCCCCCCCCCTTGGACAAATTCCTGACAACACCCCTGACTTGCGTTAAATACATACATTTTTATTCCTTTTCATGTACATTTTCCTTGTCCCAAAAATTATATGCTCTTAAAAATGTTGCTAAAATACATTCATATTTCCCACACATTTCAACATAATGTCTATTCTAAACAGAGTAGCGTATATTGGCATTGCTAAATCTATGCAGTAAAAGTTTCACAACAGCTAGTCCAGCTCGTCAATAATGAAAACATGCTTTAAAACAGGGAAGTTATCTTACAAGAAAACTATGGAATATTAAGACTGTACAGTATAGAAATACTTCAGTGTATTTGTTGTTGTTACAAAGTAAATAGTTTTACCAGACACTTATTTAATCACAAGTTTAGTGAAATAGTTCTGTTGATTTTAAAAGTCGTCTTACTATTTTAGAGTTTTCTAGTTATCACTGCAAACATAATTATAAAAAGTTTGAAATCCATTTTATTCATTAATTTTAACCTTTTCTAAGGTTTTCAGGTCAAAATGCCCCGCGCCTATCTATCTCCTTAAGTTAGTTGTAAATCTATGTGCCTTTCCTTGGAACTTTGAACTGTGTGCCTTTGCGCTATTTGCGCCTTTGTGTCTGGAAAATGTGCAACAACGGATCTGTGTAGAACATATTTCTTTAGTGACAAGAAAAAAAAGCATGATACGAAATGCGTTTAAGAATTAATGAGATATATATAGCCAGATAAATGCAAGTTTACAAAAGAAGAAAGGCAAATAGGAATTGGAATCTAAGAGTGTGATCTTATTTTTCCATCTGTGACCATGAGAGTCTCAGAATTGAGGTAGGTCTTGGGAACCCTTGGTTAATTACAATTCTAACAATCCCGCTATTGGGGGGAATCAAACGTCGATAATGATGTTCAATTTTTTTAATATTAGGTTACATTCCTACTTAAAAAAAACATTTGTACTCTTTGCGCTTAAAGAAAAGGAATTGAGTTCAACGTCAGATTTTTTATCTCATATGTTTACAATCGATGTCGTAGACTTTTTATTTCAAATAATGACTTTTCATCGATCAAATAGTCAAAGGGTTAAATAGGCAGGTTGAAAAGATGTAGAAATTGTAAATTTGAGTTAATGACAAGAACTCAGTTTCTTTATGAAAAGATATTTCTTTCTTGATATCCGTATTTTTTTCACTTTCCAGGGGGAACAACTTTGCAATTTTATGGTAAAGAAAATGAGTCTTTGCTACAAACTTAAAATTTGTAATCCCTATATCTTTGCAACCCTATTTCGTAGATTTGAAATATTTCAAACTATGAATTCTGTTAGCTAAATAGTCTAAGTTTAAAATAACAAAGGTTTCCACCATTAGGTTGCAAAGCTTTAGGGATTAGAAAATTTCAGGTTGTGACAAAAACTCAATTCCTTTACATGTCTGATTTTGTGATTTTAATGCTTTTAATGCTTTGAATGCTTTGAAATATACATACATACAAACCATCCCAAAAGATTTGTTTTTTATCTATGCAGTAGGAATCGTTTTCATATGATTTACAATAGCATTTAATCACATGTGAAGCCTTTTCTGAGCCGTCAGTTTAATCAAAATATATAAGTACAACCTGAATATTGAACCATATATATAAAAATAGAAGTAATGAATCACGCCTGCAGCATTACATCTGTATTCTAAAGAAAAGACTAAATAATTCCCTTTTCCTTTTAATATCCTTAACGAGACCATTGGATGCTTTTTTAGGTTTCTTCTTCAATAAATGATATTAAACAAAATTAACCTCAAAGTAACAAAATTCTATCAAATTGATTTTTTTAAGCCTCTCATTCACCCTGTAATTGGAAAATCATTCATTATTTGCTTCATTCAATAAAATTTGAAAACATGTTTTAATGGATCTATTGTTGCTTTTTAATGATTTTAAGCGCAATTTAAACTTCTTTATTTACGATAAAACTTCCAGCTCGAGAAACCCAATTCAAGCAGTTAATGTTATTACTTTGAGAAGAAATCATTAAATATGGAAGATAAAAACATTCAAAATTTATTTAAAACAATAAACATATATTGCAGATAGACAATGATTACATATTGTAAGAAATATCACAGTTTGTATGTTAAAATTTTGGTGCAAATTTTTGAAATTGCACTTTTCATGCAATAGTTGAATTAATTTCAATTAAATTTTAAAATATGCATAGAAACTGAATACTTATCTCTATATTTCATTTTCTAATCTCTATATCTTTACAACCTGATGTTGTAAATCTTTGACATTTTAAACTAACAAGTTTTAATATAAAATACAAAGGTAACCATTATTAGGTTGCAAAGATATAGGGACTGTAAAAGTTTGTGTTGAGTTATCAGTTTCATTGAATATAATTCTGTTTTCTTGACGTAAGCTGCGTAGATTGGTTACAAAATTGTTTCAGATACCACTATTATGCATGTACAATACACTGTACGTTGTACAGTTTAAATTATAATTATAGTTCATAAATTGCCCTGTGCAGAGTTTACATTTTAAATATCGATAATGCAACTATTACAAGAATTACAAAAGAATAGAAAATATGTTACTAAGGTCGAAGGAAACTATCTGATTAAAAAACGAAAGTAAGTACTGATTTTTCTGAACTACAGCCATCAATCGATTCAGTGGAAAAAATTTAACTTTTTATCGCTTCAAATAGTCCCTTCCCCCGCAATAAATAAAAAGTATTGTTTAATGTTATTTTTTATTGAAACTGTTATCTTTATAAAGATCCCGTATTCCCTAGCATATAAACCCTCTTTGATTTAAAAAGTGTACATATATAATGTACAATGTACACAGTACATAAAAACGAAAGATACCTATATATTTTTGTGCAATGCATATTGTGGATGGCTATAAAAATACTGAGTTAATATAACTAAATGCCGACTGTTCTAACTCAGTTTAGTTTTCACATTGACTGAGTGTTAGATGAACCCTTAGCATTTTCCCTCATAATATCGAACTTACACCAAAAGCATTTTGAAATTACGAACATTTTGTTCGAAGTTTCTAACAAAATGTTAGGAACATACAAATTTGTGAGATATTCCAAACATTCTGTTAGAAAAATTGAAATCAATTTTCATAATTTCGAAATCTTTTTATAAATTCGATATTAAATTAACAAAATGTTAGATATTTCTCTAAAAGTGCTGAATTGAATTGTTCAGATAATTAATCATTAGAGACAAAAAAACATAATTTCTTCCCTGATAACAAATCCAAAATGGTTTTTTCAAAAAATCTCTTCTCAATGACCAATCCATCACCAATTATCTGAACAATCGCGGCATTTAACCAATAAAAATACTGGATTTTAATTTAAGCTCGAAATTCAAATTCTAAAACTGTTATACATACAGAAATATACATTTTTAAACCAAACCAAGGTTTAAAAGTTTTATGATAACTTTACATATGAATTATGCAACAACAAAAACTTTTTCAAAAGAAAAAGTGAGAATTCTCGAAAAGAGTTTTTTATTATCACTATTTACTATTCACCGTTCAGTCAAAAATGCCCGTTCACAGACTGAAAAAAAATTATTATTCGATATCAAAAGTTCATAATCCATTCATCCATTCCATTCAGAGGCTAGAAAACTAAAGATAAAAAAAATTAAACAATTTTATCTGCAAAGAGGATCTTTTTAAAATAAACAAACATTATTGGTTAAATTATTCAAAGGCAAATAATTCAAAGATATCCTTATAAGAGCTCTGTCGAAAAAAAGTTTTTGTGCTTATGGTGAGAATTGTAATTCATTGCTTCACAACGTACGATTATGACATTAAACTAATTTGACAGATATCAAGAAATTAATCATTATTTTAACAAGAAATAAATATAACGAAATAATGATAACTTAATTAGGTTTAGAAATTTTTAAATCAAATCAAATCATGGTTCAATGCATATCTTGTATTTAAAATTTAGTTGGACACATAAAACTGCAGGAACAGGAGACAACATTTCAGCAATCCTGTGTGTATTTGATGTGGTAGTAAAACAATTAGTTTTACCATTAAAAATCAACTTATAAAGTGAAATTGGTCTGCACATTGATTTGTATCATGTTCTTTAGCAGGGGCGGATACAGGGGGGGCGGGGGGACATTCGCCCCCCCCTGACAGATTCAGGGAGTGGCGTAGCCCTCCCTGAATTTGGAATTTTTTGTTCCTATTTTTAAAATAGCTTCTCAATAGCATGCATATGGGAAAGAAACCCTAGTGCAAAACAGGAAAAATATATGTCTTAATAAACTATAATTGTAAAAAGTTAAAAATCTAGTTTTTTAGTCTTTAGTCATTAATTTTGACTCTTTTTGAGTCTTTTAAGTCAAAAAAAAATTTCCCCTGCGGCGCGGTTTTTTGTTCTTAATTATGAATTTTTTTGTTTCTAAAAAATCTTGCCCCCCCCCCTCACTTAAATCCTGTTTCCACCCCTGTTCTTTAGTCTATTTGAAAACAAAACTTGAGCATAAAACCAGATATCCTATTCCACAGTTTTATACATCTGATTCATACGTTTTAGATATTTCTATTCAATACTTCTCTATTCGTTATGAGCTTGTTCCAGCTTTGTCCGGTTTAAATCTTTTACTATAAAAGTTAAGATAATTCCCGGTGGGGTTTTGCAAATTTCCTCAATCAAAATTTGAGGCAAATCGGTCTAGGGTTCCTGAGTTATGATCGGACATACAAACAAACAAACGGAGATTAATTACATAAATATATGATAATCATGTTTTTTGTTCATAAAAAATCTTTAAAATTGTTACCTTGTGTTTGAAAAGATAATTGGCACGCTTGAATAAAGCTCGATATGCACAGGTTAAAGAACAACCAGATCTATCAGCTGAAATAATGTCCATCATCCTCAGGCTGATTAGGTTTCACATTATTATAAATATCATCCCGGAGAATGATTACAGAACTCGGATCCTCGGTTCGGCTCAAGCACTCCCGAACCACCTGGAGAATAATCCCAACCCTGCGATCCAGGGCGGTGAGGTGGGGTTCAAGGAGAACAGGAGAGACTGGATCCTCGGAGAGAGATCTTCTCATTGCTCCGGAGAGTCGGACAGGACCAGAGTTGTAGGAGAGGAGGGTTGTTAAGGTTGAACTTCTCAACATACAACACTGCAAACACAAAGTTAGAAAAATTATCATTTAAAATTTAAAAGTTTTCAATATTGTTCAGTTTAGATACCTGATAGAGAGGAGCTAGAATAGACATCTCATCATGATTAGCTTTTCCGAATCCTCGTCCATGATCGAGATGGATCGGGTAGGATTTGTTTCCAAAACTTTTAAAAGTTTCATAATGATGTCGATCCATGTTACCCATTAGGAAATCCAAAACTGAGAAGTCAATCACATCCAATATTCTAAACAATCACATCTAATATTCTAAACAATCACATCTAATATTCTAAACAATCACATCTAATATTCTAAACAAATCAAAATTAATTAATATGATCTTTGAGCGACTCTCCATTGAGGATTAATAATGATGCACTTATGCTTAAGTGATAAACATATATTGATCTTTGTATCTGAAAACTGATAAATTTCAGGTACAACTTTTATAAACATCAGGGTTTCATTTACGGAGTCTAACCTGAAAATGCCCTGAAAACTTGTCAAAATCTCTTGTTTTCTAAGTTTGTGGCAAAAAAATGAGTTCCTTATCTAATTTCACGAAATCTATGCTTTGCTGAAGGTTTAATTAAGAATATTGCTTAAATTGAGTCCCTCTAGGATAAAAGGGTCACTTGTAATAAATTTAAAATCCACTTTAAACATAGTTAGTGAAACTATTTTTATTTCTTTTCCTACTCTTTATCTCCGCCAGATGTTGATTTCTTTTCAGAGTACTTCAGACGACAAGAGCGATCTGTTGAATTCACACTGTATGAATGTAACTGATTTCTGAAGATGTACTTGTCTAACTTCAACTTTTTTATCCAAAATAAAATCCTGAACTTGCTTTAAAATATGTATCCGTGTACCCATCATTTATCAATCCTTCTCTTAAATGTGATTATCCAAAAAATATGTGTCCGTCCTTCTTTAACATGCAAATATCCAATATATATAATTCCTTCTCTTCAAGTGTTTATAGAAAATATGTATCCGTCCTTCCGTGTGAATATCCACAATATATAATTACGTGAAAATATCCATAATATAAAATAAGTCCACTCGTTGAGACATTTGATTTGCCATAAACATATATCCGTCCTTCTCTTGAATATATTCAAAAGATATATCTGCGCATATCCGTGCAGTAGGAAATGTACCTCTTAACAAAGGAAATGATTAATCGCCTCTTATACTAAATTTTTAATCCCTTTATTGTCGCAACCTAATCGTGAAAACCTTTGACTACACCAGGAAATATAAAAATGTCTCAGATACCAGATAGGAAAACTAGAAAGATAAGATATATAAAGTTTAAGTTAAGTTTTATGAGAAGTAAGACGTTCCTTTGGCCGGTTAAAAAAAATTCTGGCTACGATAATATGACTTTGTTGTGCGTCTAATAAAGAGTTATTTCGGTAAATACCTTCTACCGTGGTTGAAAGGGAAAGTTTCTTTAACAGCATCACAATAATTCTCATCAATCTCCCAGTGGGCCTTCCGCCGCTTGTGATAACTCCGCCTCCAGGGGCTCCGCCATGTTTTGCGTGGGGCGATAGATTTGTCGGGTAGGAAGGCGGCCAGGCTTCCCTCCAGTAAATCTGGTTTCCCACATATAGCATGTCCCGTGTCACAGTAGTAGGAACACTTCCCGTGGAAACAAAGGTTTCCTGCCGGAGAGATAAAGAAGGTTTTCAGCAGATCTCCTTCTGCTAGAGAATAGATATCCCTGAAATCAATAAATAAATTAGAGCAGTAAAAACTATGTAAAATCTATCGTTACATCGGTTGAAAGCATGAGAAATTATGTAGATAATAGTTTAATGCTTTATTAAATACTTTAGATGCATTCGATTCAATAAAATAGTTTTAATAGTTTTAGTGTTTCTGCAGGGGGGGGGGGCAATGGGGGCAGTGCCCCCCTATCGCTGTAAAGGGGGGACGTAGCCCCCCACCTAGAACTCAGATCTATAAAATCTGAAACTGAAGAGAGAAGAGCATTACAAAATTAGCTTGCTGTTTTTTCTGCTATTTTTGTTTGAAGGAGAGATAAAGTAGATGTAGGGTAAATGGACTGCATGTGTACCTTTAAAGTATCCAATAAGCCAAATGTTTTTAATTTACAGTTAAAATTTTGCCCCACCTAGGAGCTCCTAGGGTGGGAAACAAACAAAATTCGCGCATATTTGCCCCCCTTCTAGATTTATTTCTGTGCACTTAATAATTTTTCACCTAAATCCAAGAAGTTTATCTAAATGAAAAGCTGCAATTTCTGAATTATGTCTCTCATAATCAGTAAAATAGAAATGGTTTGGTAGTGTCTCTTGGCTTCTATCAAACCTCATAGGTTTAAACAATGCTTTTCCTCCATCCTAAACAATTTATAGTTAAACCTTTATAATACAAAAAGAGTTTTTAGATGTAATGTAAAATGATTAGAAGAATAAACAATGTAATTGGAGTAACATTGGAGTACAGTGGTACCCAGAAACAGTGTAATGATTGTCGTCTTCTTTATTTTTCTTATTTATGAATTAGTGTAAATCTAAGTTTCCATTTGAGTATACCTCAAACGCTAAGATAAGTTTTATCTACTTTAAGAATATACCTCGAACTCCAGGATAAGTTTAATATACTGTATGAACTCTAGGATAAGTTTAATCTACTGCATGAACTCTAGAATAAGTTTAATCTACTGTATGAACTCTAGGATAAGTTTAATCTTCTTTATGAACTCTAGGATAAGTTTAATCTACTGTATGAACTCTAGGATAAGTTTAATCTACTGTGTGAACTCTAGGATAAGTTTAATCTACTGTATGAACTCTAGGATATGTTTAATCTACTGTATGAACTCTAGGATAAGTTTAGCCTACTGTATGAACTCTAGGAAAAGTTTAATCTACCGTGTGAACTCTATGATATGTTTAATCTACTGTATGAACTCTAGGATAAGTCTAACCTACTGTATGAACTCTAGGATAAGTTTAATCTACTGTATGAACTCTAGGATAAGTTGAATCTACTGATTGAATCTAGAATAAGTTTAATCTACTGTATGAACTCTATGATAAGTTTAACCTACTGTATGAACTCTAGGATATGTTTAATATACTTTGTGAACTCTAGGATAAGTTTAATCTACTGTATGAACTCTAGGATAAGTTTAATCTACTGTATGAACTCTAGGATAATTTTAATCTACTTTATGAACTCAAGGATAAGTTTAATCTACTGTCTAAGTTTAATCTACTGTCTTAACTACCCCTAAGGATACAGAGGAGAACTAGGATCTCTAGGATACAGAGGAGAACTAGGATATCCAGAATACTGAGGAGAACTAGGATATCCAGGATACAGAGGAGAACTAGAATACCAGATGCTACCCCATCCTGATATTGGAGACGCTGCTCTTGAGGGACAGCTCTTCACATATCTAGAGCAGCTAAAAGATCCAGTCAGACCTAGGACTCCAGGAGCAGATGATTAACCTGATATTGGAGACGCTTTTCTTTACAGACAGCACTTCACATATCTGTTGTAGAAACAGCTGCAGGACACATAGGAGAACTAGGACTTCCAGGACACATAGGAACTAGGACTTGCATGACAAATAGGAGAACAGGACTTCTAGGACACAAAGGAGAACTAGGACTTCCAGGACACTTAGGATAACTAGGATATCCAGGACACACAGGAGAGCTAGGACTTCCAGGACATTCAGGAGAACAAGAATATCCAGGGCAAGCAAGTCCAATGACAGACCAGCCAGTCCAACTACAGAGCAAGCTACCGGAGACTTGAGGTTATAGACTGTCGTCTTAATTACTAGCGTTCTACAACAAGGCCTACAGACAGCTCTTCACAGATATGTAGTATAAGCAACTGAAGAAAAGGATAATCTGGAGACAGGAGGCGCTGCTTTTTACAGACAACTCTTCACAGACCTATTGTAGAAGCAGTTGAAGAACAAGAGATCTTAATGCAGGGGATGCTGCTCTTTACAGACAGCTCTTCACAGACTTGTTGCAAGTCTAACAAAGGAAGCAGCTGAGAACGCACCAGGAGAATTTTAGATTGTAAGAACAGCTAACGTAGCAGAGACTCCAGCAGCAGCTCCGGAAGTAAAGGAAGCAGTTGAGAACACAGTAAGACTCCAAGAGCAGCGTAAAAGTAGCAGCTAGGAATACAGTAGAAGCATCTCATGAATCAGAGCAGCTGAACGAGATAGTAGAGTTTGAAGAAGCAGCTCAGATAGATTGTGATCCGGATCAGCTGAACGAGATATTTGAGGTTGAGGAATCTGCTCAGACAGACACTGAACTGGAGCAGCTGAACTACGGTTTCCTGGATACCATATGGAGCTGTTTTAACAGGAGTAACCTTATGCAGACGTACTTAACAAATAAAACTATGAAGCTAATAAATCCCATTCATTTATACTCCGAGAGATATCTAGAGAAAGAATATTAAAGGGTATAAGAACAAGAGTACGGGGATTCAGAGTGATATATTTGTGTACACCCCAACCACGGGAGTAAATGATTGATCTTGAAATCCCTAAGATTTACATCTGAAATTGTAATCGATTGAACCCATTAATCATTACAATGTATACCTCGAACTCCAGGATAAGTTTAAGCTGTGTTCCACCCTCTAACTGTGTTATACCCACAATGGGTAGAGTTTGCATCTTGAATAAAACCTTCCTCACCACCTCACTACTGCTCAACAAACAAAATTGTTAGAACTAATTTCAAAGCCAGCCTCATGAAGGGTAACAATATATTGTTTATATAAATTATTTGGATTAATGCTTTATCTGAAGAATAAAGAGTAGCCATGAATAATCGCCACAAAGTTTTAATATCTTACATTACATATCTTTCAAACTAAAAAATTTGTTAGATCGAACAGTTAACGATTGAAATATTTAAAGATTTACACCATTAGATTGCAAAGATATTGTGAAAATTAGAAAATTAGAGTGTGTTGCAAGCTGATTAATGATCATTTTTTTAAATTATTTTATTTCAATTTTAGTTTGTTGATTTCCTTTGTGGATAAATCTGCATTGTTGAGATACCAAGCTGAAATTTCTTCCAGGTTGAGCTCTTCGGTTTGATTCGATGCCCGGTCAAATCTGCCAGTGTTTCGGGCTCCTCGGATTCACTGACATCCGTCAGCTTCATCAAAATTTAATCATTATATGACCTTCAACTGAGATTTTTGCCAATTACTTCTTTAAAAAACTAAAGCTAAAAAGTGAATATAGTCCTAAACTGTAAAATACGTGTTCAGCGCTACAAAAAATGCTTAGTTTGTTAAAATCAAAAGCCAAAGCGTTGCGACACTTTAAAGTCGACCGAGTCTTAAAAATGATGCATTTTTTTAGTATAGTCTGTATCCATGTATAGTCATCGGAAAAGAGAATTTGATAATTTAGATTGGTCAGATAAACTAAATATTTTTCATTAATGACCACTCAGTATATCAGATTACAGGAAAAATTGTTTAGTATTACAATTTAGATTATATTTAAAACAAACAAATTAATTAACAAAAAGATCTATTAATTTGACCTTACACATAGATATATTGACTATGAAAGTTATGCATAATATTTTTTGATCGCGTCGACTTTAAAGTGTCACAACGACTTGGGTTTTGGTTTTACCTCACCAACTCCCTTGTATTTTTTTTGTAGCCTTGGACATGTACAATTCAAAACTGTATGTAATGTGCCTGTAATTTTAAAGGAGTAATTTGGACAATCCTGTACGACTAGTGAGTTTGAGCATGCATATTTTGTGTTGCAGTGTTTACTGTGTTAATTAGCAAACGAACAAAGTTATAAAGTCTAATCAATGAACTCAATGATTTAGATTTAATGAAATTGATATCAAATTTTCTCGTAGAACTCAAAATATAACACCGGCACGAAATAGAAATGCCTTTTTGTCTTTTTTGTTGATGCATTAAACATCATTCAGTTGTCCAACACTATAGTTTTAAAATCAATGAATCAAAGAAAGAGAAGACATCTTTAAGAAAAATACACATTGCAAAGATCGGGTTGAGTTTAAAGTGTTGATTTTACATATTTCAAAGACCGGGTTGAGTGTAAAGTGTTGATTTTACATATTGCAAAGACCATGTTGAGTTTAAAGTGTTGATTTTACATATTGCAAAGACCATGTTGAGTTTAAAGTGTTGATTTTACATATTGCAAAGACCGGGTTGAGTTTATAGGGTTGATTTTACAGTACTAACTCAATTTGAGTTTTTTTTTGTAACTCAAAGCATTTATATTTTAAATATACAACGCGCTTATTTATAGCTTTAGTTTAAAAGGAGTAACTGGCAAAATTCTGAAATATTTTTACGTGAGAGCGTGCACATTTCTGTGGCTAAAGTCTTATGTTCGAAAAATCCTCCTGTATTACCTGATTCATCACATCTCCAAACATCTTCCCCTGAGAAGCTTCTAGAACGGCTGCCGAGACATCGTGAAATTCATCCCGCTGTTCAACAATCTAGAATTATACATTTATAAATAAATAAAAAGCTATGCACACATGTTTTTCTTTTTAATTTTGACACTCCTTGTTCTATAAGAAAACAATAAAAGTTTAAGAACAAAATCAATCAATGATGCTCCGTCTATATGTATAATCAATGAAAGGTTTAGCATAGAATAAATCAACGATGCTTGAAAGGTTTAATTTTTGAATCAATCAATTATACTCCATCTATGTGAAATCAATGAAAGTGTACGTAAAAATAAGTGAATGATGCGCTGTCTTTGCGAAATCACTAAAAGTTTAAGAATGAAATCAATCAATGATACTACTATTTATGAAATCAATAAAAAGTTAATTTTGGTCAATCAATGATGTTCCGCGTCTATATGTAATCAATGAAAGTTTAAGTATTGAACCAATCAATGATGTTCTGTCTATAGGAAATCAATGAACGTTTCAGTATGGAATCATTCAATGATGCTTCTTCTACAAATCAATAATGTTTCATCTATATAAAATTAATGATAATAATTAGATATAGAATAATGTTCCATCTATATGAAACCAATGAAATTCTCCGTAAAAACAAATCAATAATGTTCCATCTATATAAAATTAATGAAAGATTAGAAATAGAATGATATGTTCCATCTATATGAAACCAATGAAATTCTCCGTAAAAACAAATCAATAATGTTCCATCTATATAAAATTAATGAAAGATTAGATATAGAATGATGTTCCATCTATATTAAACCAATGAAATTCTCCGTAAAAACAAATCAATAATGTTCCATCTATATAAAATTAATGAAAGGTTAGATATAGAATGATATGTTCCATCCAAATAGGTTGTCAAGTACAATAGATGGCAACAGAAAAATCGACCAACTGCGCACAACGTCATATGTGTCAAATGAAAAAGAAAGACGACATGTCCTCTACTTAGTTGGTATTATTTCCAAGATTCCGTGGAGATATATGTCGTCTTTGTAGGAATACGTAAAAAATATTTACAACTCAAAATCAGATAGAGTATTTTTACTGTCATTTGGTGGCTTAATTTTTTTTTTTCGCTGTATATCTATGTAAACTAAATAGTCTGAGGAAGGGGGTGGGGGGCGTCCAGGCCCCAGCCCTCTAATTAGCATTAAAGTAAATATTTCTAGGGTTTTTAAAGGTTTACTGTTCAATTTCTAAAGCCAGCTAATTTTAAAAAAAATTTAGACTGCTAGTTTTTTGAAACACTCATACTTCATACGAATTTTACAAAAAATCATTTGGATTACCTTATTTTAAAAGTGAATAAGTTTTGGTGGGTTAAACAATGACTGAAGTATACACATTATATCATCATACACAACAACAACAAAAAAACAATAAAAAAATACAAAAATATTTTTAACTATTTATTAAAATTGTTTTAAATTTCGTATCATGTGATGACCTTGTTTGTTTACTAAAACATTTAGATGCCTTATTCTTTGAAATTTTACAAAAAGGTTGATAGTGGAGATCTTGGTTCTTTTACAGTTATTGTGGGATTGCAGAGGATAAGAGAAATTTCCTTGCAGGGGAGATTTCTGGAAGTTTCGAAAAAGTGCTCAAATTTGGCTGAAAATCAAACTTAGCAAAATGAAGAGCACACACTCGGCTATCTCTGATTTCATTAGTGTCGTCATTTTCAAAGAATTCAGTCACAATTCCTGCTTCTTTTTATTCTTTGGAAATTTAAATCTGGATGTCCCANCAATGAAATTCTCCGTAAAAACAAATCAATGATGTTCCATCTATATGAAATTAATGAAAGGTTAGATATAGAATGATGTTCCATCTATATGAAACCAATGAAATTCTCCGTAAAAACAAATCAATGATGTTCCATCTATATGAAATTATTGAAAGGTTAGATATAGAATGATGTTCCATCTATATGAAACCTATGAAATTCTCCGTAAAATCAAATCAATAATGTTCCATCTATATGAAATTATTGAAAGGTTAGATATAGAATAATGTTCCATCTATATGAAACTTATGAAATTCTCCGTAAAAACAAATCAATGATGTTCCATCTATATGAAATTAATGAAAGGTTAGATATAGAATGATGTTCCATCTATATGAAACCAATGAAATTCTCCGTAAAATCAAATCAATGATGTTCCATCTATATGAAATTAATGAAAGGTTAGATATGGAATGATGTTCCACCTATATGAAACCAATGAAATTGTCCGTAAAAACAAATCAATGATGTTCCATCTTTATGAAATTATTGAAAGGTTAGATATAGAATGATGTTCCATCTATATGAAACCTATGAAATTGTCCGTAAAATCAAATCAATGATGTTCCATCTATATGAAATTATTGAAAGGTTAGATATAGAATGATGTTGACTAAACTGTGTTGGTGGACCGGATAAAAACGTCCTTGTGATGGTTCCCTGATTACTCTAATGTTGAAAGATCAGGTTCAATGAGCAAAAAAATGAAATTAAATCATGCACTAGACTGTCAATGCTAGGACAGATGTATAAAATCATTAATCAAACACCTTGACCAAAAACTATATTAGTTCATAATTAAAAACAAAATATTTATATTGTTAGTAAACAAGATCCAAGCAAATCAACCGGAATTATTTACGCCAAATTAGAATTATTCAAACATAAACTTCTAACCTTGTAATGGAAAAATACATTTTAGATAATTTATCAAATAATGTATTTTAATATCTGTTCATCAACTTTAATTTTCGTGATTTTTCCCAACCTGTTCCTATCATAGAATTAATAATCCTTGTTCCTAAGAAAGCATTGCTTTGACATATTCCTGACATAAGATTGATCTGACATACATCTATCATACAGTTACATTCTGCGTGTATAACAATGTATTTATATTGATCTGTCCTGCTTCTGACATATGATTAATTTGGCCTGCTCCTGACATAGGATTAATCTGACCTGCTCCTGACATAGAAATGATCTGACCTGCTCCTGACATAGAATTCTTCTGACACGAGATTGCTGTTACCTGCCCTTGAAAATGGATTGAGCTGACCTACCTGCTTCTAAAATAGGATTGCTACCTGTTCTTGAGCCTGGATACCAGTTGGATCTTCTATAACCTCTGTACTGGAGTTTATTGTCTTCTGTAGAATCCGTCCTTTAAACCCGGAAGAACTAGCAAATGATATTATTATTTCAAATCTCAGACAACCTGGTATATATAACATATCTTCTTTATTATAAATCATTGAAACTTTACATATCTATCCTATTATAGTTCTCTATAAAAATCCCAATCTTTACATCAAAGATAAAAGAATAAATATTTAATTTGTTCGATGTTTTACCTTAGCTTTTAACTACCTATATAACCATTTATAAACTTTTTAATGAATATTTCGAATTGATTCAGTCTTTGATAAAAACAAAGAGAAACAGATTTATGCTCAATCCTACAATTATTACTAATGTAATCCAAACCTTTCAGGAGTCTCTGCCCTTACATTTGACCCCGGCTCCATCCTAGGTTCTGGGGTAGAGCTGAGATCATGGAGCATGAATAGGAGAGATGCCATGCTGAACCCTATCACAGCCATTCCTATCCTCTCCTGGAACTTCATCTAAAATAGGAACATATAACATGATAAAGGGATGAAGGGGGATGGAGAGAAGGAACGGACGGACGGAGAAGGAGGAATTAGGAGTGTGTAGGGTAGGATAAGGGCGGACGGAGAAGGGGTAGTGTGGAAGGTAAGAAGGACGGAGAATAGCGATTGTGAGGACGAACGGAGAAGGAGTAGTGTGGAGGGTAGTTACAGACGGAGAAGGGTAGTGGGGAGGGAAAGGACGAACGGATAATGGGTAGTGTGGAGGGAAGGGACAGGCGAAGAAGGGGTAGTGTGGGGGGGGTAGGGATGGACAGAGAAGGGTTAGTGTGGAGGGTAGGGATGGACGGAGAAGGGGTAGTGAGGAGGGTGGGGATGGACGGAGAAGGGGTAGTGTGGAGGGTGGGGGATGAACGGAGAAGGGGTAGTGGGGAGTGTAGGGACGAACGGAGATGGAGTAGTGTGGAGGGTAGTGACGAACAGGGAACGAGAAAGAATTAATAAGTCATCCTTGAATTAAATTGTGCAATAATTTCGTATACAATTCTCAGTAATCCCTTAAACCTTTTTCTGAGAACTCCCCTGTAATCGGTTAGATTAGATAAGTATGTAAACTTTAATATTGTCAATAGTACTCCATAAGTTCAGAGTTTCTGATAAAAACACTCCAAAAGTTAAATCTATAAAATAATTATAAGATTTATAATTATTAAAAATAAGGGACCGGCCTCTGCTACATGTCTCTCAAATCAATCATAATGTTGCGCTAACACATAATAAGAGTGTACTGATAATTAGGACGCAAAAAAGTAGAACAGAGTACATCGTAGCTTCATCAAACATCCTTGTTTTGGTATCTAACTATCTGTCAACTCATTTATTTATTTTTTTCATGAAAATAAACAATAAAACTGCAATTTCATTCTCTGCATTTCCTTCCAATTTTTTGTTGTCCTGTCATGACTCTCATACTTCCCATATAGATCATACTTCCCAAATATATATACAGTCCATACTTCCCATACCGATCATACTTCCCAAATAAATAAACGGTCCAAACTTCCCATACAGATCATACTTCTCAAATATATATACAGTTCATACTTCTCATACAGATTATATTTCCCAAATATATATACAGTCCATACTTCCCATACAGATCATACTTCCCAAATATATATACAGTCCATACTTCATATACAGATCATACTTCCCAAATATATATACAGTCCATACTTCCCATACAGATCATACTTCCCAAATATATATACAGTTCATACTTCCCATACAGATCATACTTCCCAAATATATATGTATAGCCCTTACTTCATATATATAGATCAAACTTCCCAATTGTATAGTTCTTCCTTACCATACAGACTATACATCCCAAAATATAGCTCTTACTTCCCATACAGATCATACTTCCCAAATATATAGTCCTTACTTCCCATATAGACCATACTTCCCATACAGGCTATACTTCCCAAATATTTAGCCTTTATTTCCCATACAGACTTTACTTCCCAAATATAAAGCCCTTACTTCCCATACCGACTATACCTCCCATACAGACTACCCTTTTTTAAAAATAATTTTTGTATTAAATTTTAACATTGTTCTAATATGTTCTAACGTGACAGAAGTGACACAGCAGAATTTGAAACTATTCTTACATATTCTAAAATTTAGTCATTAATATCCAACATTTTATTACCTTATATTTTAGATGTGAAGGAGACTCTTTTTATTTCTCATTTCCTTCCTTTCTCATCTGCAGCCTTCATTTCCAGTATCCAGTCCTGACAAGGATTCTAGAATCGTTCCTCCATTTTCATTTTTATTCCGTCTGATCACTACATTTCTAATCTGAAATAACACCAAGTAATAAACAGAGAGACGGAATTCTAATTAAGATTGTTTTATTTAGCAAAAAATACAGTTTCAACATTGTATATTTTGCACTTAATTCTTAGTGTTTAATGTTTATTTATTTCTGTTTTCTGTTTTCTGTTTTCTGTTTTCTGTTTTCTGTTTTCTGTTTTCTGTATTCTGTTTTCTGTTTTCTGTTTTCTGTTTTCTGTTTTCTGTTTTCTGTTTTCTGT